ATGAAAGTTTAGTATCGCAACAACAAATTCGACCAAAGTTAGGGTATTTTTCATACCCTTATCCCTTTAAAATAATAAATATTATTTTTAATTGAATCATAATCGTTTTGCTGAATTGTTGATGCACTTGAAATACATTATATGATGTGTTTGATTTTTTGAACAAAATGAAAAGAACACAAATGGTCATCAGGCTAAAGGTTTATTGTAGCAAAGTCGTAGAAGTAAATTTTGTATAAAAAATATAACTTTTAAATATTTATCATACATAATATTCATCGAAAATTCATCTATTCAATGTAGAAAATTGAAATAAATTGCAACACAAGACAAAAGAAAAATTTTAAATTTGTATTGCAATTACGCACAAACATTAATTTTTTTATTAATCACTATTAAGTACTATAATTGAAGATTGATATCTCAATTTAGGAAATTATAAAGGTGGAAGATAAAAGATTGACGTAGAACCTCACTTTGGTCATGATTATCATTTATCTTCTTCTTCTTTTTTGAAATTTTTTACTATCTTTTGATTTATAAAATCTGCAAAAAAAAATAAAAAATGTTTTATTTATTTCTCTCGTCACCATTATTACAATTTATTAAATAGTAAATATTTTTCACCTCTCCTCGTCATTACTACTACTACAATTTACTTTTTTCCACCTTCTATTTTTATAGTTTTTTAAAATAAAATTTTTGTTGATCTCTCCTCATTATTATCATAATTAATTATTCTTATTCAAAAAATTCTCTTTTTCCTTAATTGTTTTCTTTCCTTTGATTTATAATTTCTTTTTAAAAAATAGATCTTAAATATTTTATTTATCGTTCTCTGCACTATTGGTACAATTTATTATAATTACTTTTTTGTTTTTTCTCGTTGCTATAAAACATTTTTTTTAATTCTCCTTTTGTTGTCTAAAGAAAATCTTATTTATTTCTTCTCCTTATTATCACTATTATTAATTTTTTTTTATTATTATTTAAATAAATTCTTTTCTTTTCTTTTAAATTTTTCTCTTGATATATATATATATATATTGACCAAGAATTTAAATTATCCTTTTTTCTCCTTTTCTTGACTTTTTTTTTCTTATTTATATTTATGTTTAAAAAACTCAAAAGAAGTTATAAATAGTATCTTAATTAGTAGTAATTGTTTAACATATTTATAGTACACACCTTTATATTATGATTATGATAAATATATTTACCTTATTTATCTATGTTCTTACCATTAATACAATTTATTATTTTTCATCTCTCCTCATTATTACTATAATTTATTATTATTTTAAAATTCATTTTCTTACCTTCTATTTTTATAGTTTTTTAAAAATGAAAATTTTATTATCTCTCCTCGTTATCAAATAAAACAAAAATTGAATTTACCTGAAGGAGTAAATCTGCTCTTGCAATAATTCTTCCATTTTGTCAATTTACCTTCAGAATTTGTGCTCTCCAAGCTAGTTTTATTTGTACAAACAAAGCAAAAATCTATCTAAGGTAGTAAAACTTTTCAAAAAATTAATTTACCTGAAGTGGTAAATCTTCTCTTCCAATGATTCTTCCATTTTGTCAAGTTACTTACAGATTATGTGATCTCCTACATTATTTTTTTATACTTTTTTAATTGGTTGATTACAAAACTGTTACAACTGTTCATTTTCTATTGCAACAATAAAATATATTCTTTATGTTAAAACTTTCATTATCCTCTTTAATTGTAGGTTAATAGATGCATTAGAGGTATTTACTAGATTATTATATCAGGAAATGAATTTAAAAAATCAAAAAATTGAGGAAAAAGATAAAATGAAATGGTGGCCAGAGAGAGATGCCACATCTTCTTTAAAAATTATGATAGTTTATTTTTTTGAATTCATGTAACAAATTATTCATAAAAGGATAAACTTTATCTTTTGGACAAATAACAGTGAGAAATACTAATTAGGTATATCAACTCATGGTGTTCTATAATGAAATAAATTAGCATAATTAAAATTTTGTTATAAATCCATTGAATAGTAGATTGTCCATTTAGTTTATTCATGAACTAACATTCATGTATGTGTGTTCCCAAGGTGATATGAACCTTTTTGGGATAACAATGTATCTAATTTGGCATTCATCATGGTGGCCTTTGAAGTGATTTCTCTACTTATAAATAGAGATATTATTCTCCATGTATGATACACTTGAATAAGAAGAAAAGTTTTCTCCTTCATCTACTTATCTTGTCTTCTTCTCTTTATAATTATATTGTTTTGGGCTTAATTTTATAGCACGTTATCAGCACGAAGTTCTAATCACTTTATCATTTCAAGATTACATTTTATTTGCTCTCCGAAATAAGGTAAGTTATTTATGTTATTGATTGTTGAGGTTGTGTTGATTTATTATTTTTTCAAACAAGGTGAGTAACTAGTATTATGTATTTTTCATATTGTATATTTGAACCTATTTTATGCTCTCTTTATGATTGTGCTCATTGTTGTCATTTTGAGCAATTCGTTGGTTAACATTAAATATTACTTTGGCTATTTCATAAGCTAGTTGATGTTTTTTTAGATGTGTGTGGAACACTAAGGGTACATCACATGTAAATTGGAACAACAGTAAGCAATTTTATTTTAGTGTGATAAATATTTTTTAGTATGAAACTATACAATGAAATCATTTTTGAGTTATTCATTATAAATAAGAATAAATTGTAAAGGAATATAGTAAATGACAAAGTCGATCTATTTTGGAGTTGATAAATGTATTCAATTATTTTACGGCTTATCTGCGTGTAATTTATTTATTATTTATAGTGAGAATTTTCTAGCCTCTTTCTGTGTCAATAAATTGATGACGCAAATAAATGGTTTGGTGCATTGAGTATTATTTTTATTGGTTCATACTAATTGAATAAGAATGACCTTTGACCTATTATGTCATTGGATGAGGGTAAACGGTGGATTTAAGTTTCATCAATTCAAGAGGGTAAGACATCATATTAATGTCTCGATGCACCACAATATTATAAGATATTGAGTTAAGATTCTGATGTACCATGATGATAAAGTATTTGGTTTGAGTTTCTAACATACCTTTATAGGGACAAGACATTGAGTTTGAGTCTCAATGCACCATAGTGATGATATAATGATGACTAAGGTAAAAATAATATATTTTTGATGAAAAGTCATGAAATTCCTCCCAGTGAATTTGCTCCACTCCCTGAAGAGAATGTGATAGTAGTATATGATAACTTTGAAATATGCCCAATTGATTTGCTCCATTCTATTGTATGAATGTGGTAGAAACTAATAATAAGTTTGAAAGAGGACAAATGATTGAATGTATGAATAAGGGCATAGAAGGACGACATAATAATAATAGTCATCATTGTGGTGAAAAGAACACTATGAGTTCTCAAAATAATCCTTCAAAATGTAAAGGTAATTTTTGTCATCAAAATAATATGAAAGGTCATTGGACATGTGGTTCTCGTATGACCTAATAATTTGGTAATTTTATAAACCCTCCATCAAAATAAAAAATAAAATAAAAATGGTGGTGCACTTTACCTTTCAAAGTGATGTTGAGGTGGGTCATGTAAATATGCCAAATATATAGGTATGACACGTATAAATGGTTATGGTCAACTCATGAAGAGATTGTGACTTGTAATAAGCATCGTGAATGTTTGCCCATTCTTGACAAATGAATGTGTCAAAATATGGGGAAAAAATAATATATATATATACACACATATTCATGTATGGTTGAAAATATGCCACAACTCACCTCTACGAGAGGTTTGAGAGAAATAAATAAACTTTATTTGGTATGATTGGTCAATGGTCGTGTACGTTTATACGTCATAAATATTATGGTAAGTTTATTGTGAACTACCGAAAGGGCAAACGAAAGAAGTAATTCTTGCCTATAAAGGTTGTGGCCATGACCAAATAATATTGTTGTGCGATTGTAAATTTGTCATTGGTTGGGTACCTATAGTACGACAAAAGTAAAGTAAGAAACATGTCTTGCCTGTAATAATTTTGACCATGACAATAATAATATAATTTTCTCCTTGAAGGAGATATTCACCATACGGATGGTGTCATGGAATATGTGATAGTACACAAAATTAATTGTAAGCTCTAAGAGTTATTGTGTTATTATTGGAGAAATAATATTGGGATTGTAGTAAGTCTCAAAAGAAACTTTTTAAGTTTCGGATGAATTGAAAAGAAATATTGAGA